GGATCAGGATTCTTGCAGAAGTCTATCTCGTCTGTTGGTTGATGGATGGGGTGGCCCATTTTTAATGTTTCTCTTGTTCCTGGATCAGGATTCTTTGGGAGATCTATCTCTTCTGCTGGTCGAGGGACGGGGTGGTCCACTCTTAATGCTTCTCTTGTTCCTGGATCAGGGTTCTTTGGGAGATCTATCTCTTCTGCTGGTCGAGGGATGGGGTGCTCCACTCTTAATGTTTCTCTTGTTCCTGGATCAGGATTTTCGCAGAGGTCTATCTCATCTGTTGGTTTACAGATGTAGTGGTCTACTCTCGATCTTTTCATGTGTAGGTCACTTGGTTCTTCTAGTGCTGTAGATGGTCTGATACGTCCCTGTGAAATCAAACAAAATAAATTTATGGGGAAAATGTGTCATCCATGCATCCATGCATGCATCATGAAACCATGCATCCCTCTCTCACTCCCTCTCTCTTTTCATAGACGGTTAATGCTAAATATATATTCTTTTTTTAAACCATAATCCGTCTCTTGGTCATGTTCTTGAATTATCTTGCTTGCTTGATACACGTCGTATGTATTGACATACGTGTTTTAAATGTTTCTGCTTGTTCCTGATATTAAACAGGAACAAGCAGGAACATTGAACCACGCAGTCTTGGTCTCTCTTTCCTCTTCTTGGCCAGGATCTATACCACCGCTCGGTTCTCCCTCAGCCAGTCTTCAGTACTGCTTTTAGGGTTTCTATTCGTTGCATTGCAGTCTGGTGAAACTTGCAGGGGACACTTGCATGCTAAACGAAAGCTTTTCATGCTTCCTTATTACATATAAATATGATCTTGAATAGACAATCTAAGGGATACCTGGAATGTTTTCATCATAAAGGAATATCAACATTAACCACCACACAAACTCTATACAATCGTACCTCGCTCACTATTATGCATATATCCCAGCCATCAATTATCAATTATCGGTTATCGATTATCGACTATGGATTGAGTATTATGGATTATCAATTATTAATTAATAATTACAAATATGCTATATTTCAATTATCAAAAGAGCAGAGACTATTGAAGCCTTTAAAACCAAGTTTAATCCATGTGTTTATTAAAAATAGATTTTCAGTCATTAGGTTCTGTCTGCAAATGCCCTTGACGTTTTATGAGACGTGTTAATGTACACACATGTGCAAACGTTTTTTTTAATTGTTCAAGGAAGTTAGTAACGAGTTTGTAAAACCTTTGTATGGAAGAAGTACTTACTTTCCTATTTTGAGCAGTTGCGGTGTCTTCATGCAACAAAGATTCGTCATCCAACGCTATAAGAAAGAAAAACTGGAATTATTAGTTTGCTCGTTGCTTACTCGCCTTAATGTTGGCGGTGTTTAAGAAAATATTTTTCAATACCCTATTTCGTTAATACAACCAATATGGCCAACTAAGTGCCTGGTCTGAACGTGATAGATCTTAATGTCCTTTTAACCCGATTAGTGCTAGATAATTTATCGCGGGAGAGGATGGGAGTGTTGTCATTTAATTTTAAATGGCATTTAATTTTAAGCGGTACTCTTTACCAGCTACTAAGCATCCCAGAGCTCTCTGATTGCCTAACATCTTTAAAAAGTTCTTTAAGTTATCCACACTGTATCCTCTGTTATCCATATCTTCCAGCAAATGCTTTGTGCAGCTCATCCCTGGCTTGCTTGCCTCTATTTCCATCTGTTTGACATCTTTTGCTGTATAGATTGGAATTTGAGAAACCAAGTGCTTCCAATCCATTGTGCCTACAGGATCCAGGAATTTAGATAGGTCCTGGTGAATCTTGTAGGGCAGTTCCATAATGCTCATTCTTGATCTGGGAAGTGTTGTAAAAGCTCGCCGCATGGCGTTATTTAACGATGACCTGAAAAGAAACTCGGGCAAAGATTTTGATATTAGAAGAAAGGTTTTGAGTTACATGCCGGTAGTCTGACTTCAGTGTACTCAAGCTAGCTATTAAAAAGCCAAACATAACGCTAAAAGGCCACATTAGAAAAAATATATAATGCTTGCACGATACTCAGGCTTTCTGGAATTATACGATGTTCAGATTCCAATTAAACCTCAAAAGGATGAGCAGATATAGTGCTGAAGATTTGACTATAACGTTGTAAAGTAGTGGACTGACTAGCATTCCTAATAAAATTTTCTTTTTATTGCCGAAAGATAGGAACACGTGTCGCATAGTATTGCGTTATTCCTACCAATGAATATTTTGGTTATCCATGTATCAGTACCATAAGAATAAAGCCTCGCAATCAAGCCTTCTGAATTTTAGGATATCAAATTAAACGTGGCTTGCTGCAGTATGAGCTTGCATTTAGGTTTTTAATTCCAATTTTACAAAGTCCTTTAACACTATATAAAACCCTTTTAAATTACAATGGATGTGGACCTAACAGTAAAATAAAATATAAATGGCACAAATTCCATCGAGAAAAGGTGTCATTTTTTTACACACAAAAGGACTGTTAATGATTTACCAGTGATTATGCTCGTATCACATAACCGTAATCGGATAGTTTGATTTGGGTGATAAGTTGATGTAGCGTGCCGAAGGAAAGTTAAACTAAGAAAGAAGCTCCTTAGAATATTAACTAATTTGCTATCCGGCCAAGTAGCACAGAGGTATGTAACTCATATTATATTTAGTTCTTCTACAAGAAATTATCAATATTATTATTCTTCAGCATAAACTGCCTATAGTTGACTGAGCATTCATTTCTAAGTATCGCTAGACCACGTGTTGCATAATCATTCCCTAATCAAGCACATTTTTCTATTTGTAAGCGGTTTTTAACTAATACAGATATACCTTATTGTATTTTACCCAGTCTTTACGTGATTCTAATAAATGCAGTGATTGAATGATGGAATCTCAGTAAGTGATTTGCTGTTCTAACACGGCCGACCCGGGGAAACTCGAAAGATTGCCCCAGCCGTAACAAGGACTTTATTGATCCATTCCACGTAGGCCTAGGGTTTTCAATGTCCATTATACGAGAATAAAATATGAGAATAATATTATAAAAAAAGCTGCTGCTTTCTAGCTACTATTTAAATGAAATTGTTTCTTTTTTTTATTTTCCTTGTAGTTTCGTATCCAAATTCATTTTAAAAGTGGTATCTTGAACGAAGAGAGAGGCATGCAGAGAAGACAAGAGAATCGTGGCAAACGTCTGCGCATGCTGGTAGTCGTTAAATAATTAGATGAAAAACAATTTTCATTGCTAGTATATGAATTTTTTCTATGTGTTTTTATATGAGTTAGTTCTTTAAAAAAATATCAGTTCTTATTACCTTTTTCTAATAGAGTACCCATAATTGCAAGACCGTTGTAAAATAAATTAGGGGGTGGGGGTGGGGAGGGGAGAATTAATTATTATTGAATCACCCGCGTAACGCTACAATCCTTTCACATGAAAACACGTCACCATTAAATCGTTTCAGATAAGAATGAAATCGTAATTTTGTTATTGTTTTATTTTATTAATTTCTTATTGATTCAATTGGAAAATTTATCGGCAGAATACTGAGAATTATCAGAATCTGAGACTTGTCATCGACCCCGGCTCACAACTCGACCGTTGTTATTTAATGCGTTACTTTGTGTGCTGTTACTTTCTACATATGCATTTTCAATAATCAAAACTTTCCTGTTTGAGCCAGTGGAAATATAAGGGGAAAAAWACTGTCATGTTCGCGGAATATAAGTATAATAGAAACTAAACTATTAAATACTATTAAAATTACAATGCAAAGTTTATCAATTTATCATAACCTTTAAAAGACTTTAGACTTCAATATTGACCCTGAGAAAATAAGAACGCTTTATAATTATTCCAAACAAAATGTTTCAGTGATAAGAACCTAAGCTTGACAAGAAATGATTGTAAAATGAAGGTATGTAATGAAATGAATGGTTTTAGGAGATATTTTTGAAGAGAAAAATCGGTTCAAGGTTTGTCATTTTAATCGCCGGGTATGTGATTTCAAGCCGATCGGTTGTTTGAATGCTTGATGTTCTAGCTCAATCAATCGCGTTTGAATAAATTTATCAAATTAAATATCCATCACTTAGCACTATTTTGAAGCAACCAACAGCCCTTATGTTCAAAGGCCCTCTTTTCTCATTTAGTTCTCGGATTTTTTGGCAGTCACGAACCAAAACAATCCTATCCTCAGTCGTTCGCGAGGGTTGTCAATAGAGAGTTTAAGATAAGACCGCTACGGTAGACTACTACGGTTGAACGCGTCTGGTGAATACTGGATCGAGCATACCGTATACGGTTCAGTGGTCGCAAAAAATGATATATTTTGATTCGCAACCGAGTGCTATCCGAGTGTTGGCTAGCAGAAATGTCGTTTGAAGATATAAGAAATGCAATCGTCATTGCCTTTGCTGATGGTATTTTGAGAGAGGATGAGTTCTTGATTTTATATGAAGAATATAAATCCTTCTTATCCATTCTGGAAATACGACTCCTTTTGCTTGGATGACTTGAGTTCTAGCGAGTGCGAATCTAACTTCAGAGTCGCAAAAGAGGATATACCAGTGTTAGGGAACCATCTGCAGCTACCTGTACGCTTCGTTTGTTCTCAAGGGACTGTCTGCAGTGGATTAGAGGGCTTGTGCATGCTGCTAAAGAGA